ATGTATGTATATATGTATGTATATATATATATATATGTTATGGTAATAACCATTAACAGCATATGGCAATTGCATATAACTAGCTCTATCACACGTTTTTGTTTTACAGTACAAATCGGTTATTATTACATTAATATGTATGCTAAAAAGCTTAAATAAGGGAAAATGGCAGGCATTTTAAATTGTAGCTCAAAAATATGTAAAATATTTAGTTAACTGTTGTTGTCATTGTTATGAGTGAATTTCCAATTGAATACTGCATTTTAATGACATAAACTTACAATATTAGTGACAATTTTAGGAAAAATGGCGGCCATTTTGAAACTGCTGGCAACCCCCCTTACGTATGAAAAAAAATGTTGCACATACTTTTTTGATTTATCAATGTGTACTCTACATCATAAGCAATTTTTTAAAAATATAGCAAGAAAAAACCTCTGATATTGCTACATTTCCATGACAGGACTAGTCGACATGAACCAACCATGTAAAGAAGAAATGATGCCATTTTTATTGTTGTTGTTATTTTGATTGATATTAATATTTGTATTATTGTTATGATTGTTATTTTAGTCTTTGTTATTGTTATCATTGTGTTTTTAGTCTTTTTATTGTTGTTGTAGTTGTTATTGTTAATATTACATATTAGTTATTTTAATATTACATATTTGTATTTTATGAGATTTATGTACCACACATATCCAAATTTGAAGAATTGCTTAAGGAATTGTTGTCGTTTTGGCGTTATTGTTTGTTTGTAAATATTGTTATTGTTGTTCTTGTTATTATTGTATTGTTGTTATTGTTAACCTTGTTGTTGTTATTGTTGTTGCTATTGTTATTTTTGTTTTTGTTATTTTTGGTATTATTGGTGTTGTTTCATTTATTATTCATATAATTACTATGTTACCGTACCTCCTTTACTAGGCATTACATTCCAAGATGAATTAAATGGTCATTTGTTTACCAAAACTTTAAATGTCCATGTAGTTAGCGATCTTATTAGGTTATGAGCTGTAGTTGGTGAAAACTTTACCAAAACGAGCCACACACAGTAATTTACCTTAATTATTGTAATTACAATCATTGTTTGTTGAAAAATATAATGATCTGTGGTACATGCTTACCAGTTTCACATGTCAAGCCTTTCCATCCAGACGCACAATTACAGCCAACAGGGTCCTGTCCACAAAATAATTTTCCCATACACTCATTCTCACCCGTAGTACATTCAACTGTACCGTTGTGACCAAACCTATTCCCTCCGGCCGCTGTAATAAGTATTAATTTATATATGACTTTTAACATTTATTTTTAACTATATTTTCATTTTCAAAAGCAAGACAGAAACACATATTTACAAAGAAATATTAATTAATGATGAAAATAGCAATATTAAAAAGGACAAGGAAAGCAACTGATTATAACATAAGGGTAACCTAGCTGTTACATGCAACTATAAGTAAACTACATCTGTTGCAAGTGAGTCGAATGGCCGAGCGGTTAGCAGGGGCGCCGCGAGCTATAACCATAATACCGGCACAGGTTCGAACGGCACGCTCGCCTATGGTTCTAATGGTAGAACAAGTCTTCTCGGATAAGGACTATAAACCGTAGGCCCAGTGTATACAATGGCTCGTGTGCACTATAAAGAACCCAGAACATCCTTCGAGACGAGTATGGGATGCCCCGGTGTATTGGAACAGACAGCCCCTGTGGTGGACGACGAGTTGCTGGTACCGGGTTACCAGGTAGCGCAGGCACGAAGGGACCCTTAGTGGCGAAGAAAGTCATAACGTCCACGCATCTAGCGCCCTGAGCATCTTACATTAGATGGATATGTGCTCTATATAAAACTACACTATTTATAAATTATTATTATTTCGACTGCATATAATACATTACGAATTATTGTGTCAATTAATAAAGAATCCATGGTACTAAATGTTATACTACATAATTTGATACGGAAGACTTTGCATCTACAGGGCCCTGTACTTAATGGGCCAAACTGGCTGATAAAGGTCGTTATCCGTTGTATCGATTATGTTAATACCTAAAATAGATTCGAACCCAACTGTAGAAGTAACCATTGCTGATTTAGTCGGTAGTTCTACTGGTCAACTATATAAAGTAATCATGTAAATATGGCCACTACTACTAAGGAATTGTTGTCTGTATTGGTCACTCGGTGGTTAATAATATCAACTTGCTCTCAATACACACTGTTAAGGCCAAGTAAAAAATGTAGTGCTCGTCGTAATATTTTGAAAAAAAGGAGAATCGAGTCGATGGGAAACAGCTACTACTTTCTCACTTTTACCAAACAGACACATTGAAACAACTAAAAGAAGCACTAGACATTGATTTATACCATATGAATTTCCAACTACGAACGATCAAGAGAGGAATTTTACTAATGGGAGTTAGCCAGATTTTCGTATATTTTGTAAAATGAAGGAAATAGAAATAAAGGTGAGGCAGATAAAATGAATGCGCGAGGGGACGAGAAATTTGTTTTTATTTGGCATAATCATTTAGATTTATAAGGAAAGAAGTGTATGAGCATTGCAATATCAATAATATTATCACTATTTTGGAGCACTGGCTGTTAAAATTAAAACTTTCACATTCTTTTAAACAAAGCCCTATATTTATAAATAATTTAACTGTTAATTTCGGTATGGACAGTTTGAATTTCCTGGTAATCTACAGCAAAACATAAAATGATGTGAAGCGTCAATAGGTGAACTAGGCTAGTAATAAATACTACTAATGATACTCGGAACCTCCGTCACTATTTCAAGAGGGGCCTATGCTTTCTCAGCAGACATTAAAACTAATCGAGGAAATTGGTGACACCTAAATTAAAACTAATGAACAAAGTAATAAGTAATTACTCCTTTAAAAATCTGAATGTTATTAAGAGGCTGTTTCCTTCAAAAATGTTAATAATGGAAATTAATTTTAATTCGTATTTTTAGGCCTATTTATGAATGGGCCCCTAATAGTCATGGGCCCCATCCCTACGCCACTGATATGGAATAAAATTGTGCAACTGTAGGCCTAAGCCAATAAAACCTGACTTTGCCAAAATCTATTAATCTCGAAATGCAAAAAAAAAATACACTAAAACAAGCCAATACGCAAAATACAATGGAGAATCATAATCTAAGTAGGCCTATATAGTAAAATCTATTGCAAAACAACAATTGAATAAATTTAATTAGAATTACAAAGATACAATTAAACTAAAAGAACAGAGCATTATCGTATCTTTAAAACTAATAAAACACAGGGACGAATTTAGCCCAAAAGGTATAAAACAATCAAATTTATTTTTTAACTGAACCTCTTCGCCATATATTTAATTTATCTTTAAAAAACGGGGTTTTCCCAGACCAATTGATATTAGCGAGAGTCTCCCCTATTTTTAAAATGGGTAGGAAAGATTCATTGTCCAACTACCGACCAATATCTGTTCTTACTGTATTTTCCAAAATATTAGAACGTATTATTTACAATAGAACGTATGCTTTCATTGAAAAAAACGATATTCTTTTTAATAAGCAATTTGGGTTTCGTAAAAAATTTGACACGTGTATATCGCATTAATTGACTTGCCCAACGAAATTGTTGATGCTTTTGAAAATGTTTGCAATAGGTGTATTTATCGATTTATCGAAAGCGTTCGATATTATTAACCATTTAATTCTACTCTTTAAACTGTATCACTATGGTATCCGTGAAGTTCCTCACGATCTATTTAGGAGTTATTTGACTAACCGCTACCAATGCACAAGGTATGGTGGCTCACAATCTCATTACTTGCCTATTAGTTGCGGTGTCCCACAGGGCTCTCTCTTGAGCCCCCTTTTGTTTCTTTTATATATAAATAATATTTATAATTCTTCAGCATTATTATCTTACTTTTTATATGCGGAGGACACGACTATATTTGGTAGAAATAAACATTTAGAATTATTATTTCGTATAGTGAATTCAAGTTTGGGAGAAGTATCCGAATGGTTTCTGGCAAATTGCCTTAATATAAACTTAAAGAAGTGTAACTATGTATTGTTTAGGAGTACCCAAATACCAATTTAACTAGGTCAGCTGCAGATCAAACTCAATGATTATGTTTTCCTTGGTTGAACACGCTAAATTCCTTGGAGTATCCATTGATAGTCGTCTATTATGGAAACCCCACATATTTGAAATTGAAAATAAAATTGCAAAAAATATTGGTATAATATATAGACTGGCATCATTTCTTCCCAATAATATTCTCCGCACTCTCTGTTGTTCCCTTGTTCTTCCATACTTGTCATGGTGTAACACATTTCCATCTAAACTAAATAAACTGGCGTCCCACCAAGAACTAGTACTGATCCCTTATTTCCTTCTCTAAAACTATTAAAACTTAAAGGTCTTAATACACTTCAACAATGTTCTTTTGTACATAAAAGTTTAAACTCCATTCTTCCATCTCATTTATGTTCTATATTTGCACCTAATAACGAATTACATGAATATAGTACCAGAATCTCAAATAAACTCCACATTCCCAAACACAAAAAAAAACAACTTCATTTCAACATAATATTAGTTACACTGAACCTAAGATATGGAATTCGCTCCCTCTAAACCTCACTGATTCACCATCCAAAAAAATCTTCATTTCTAAAGTGAAACATTATTTAATCAATAATAATATTGATTAAATCATTTTTCATATGTTAATTGATATTTTACTATTTAACAGTAGCTTTAATTTTTTCCCTTATAATTCCAAATATGTATGTATTTTTATAATAATTTTTCATCTATTGAAATGCTCTATTACCATTATTATTATTATCATCATTTAAAATTTATTTGTTAAATTTCAATGAAGATTGTAATTCACGTTTTGAAGGAAATACATGCCACTTTTGAATTGAATTGAATTGGTAGTAAAAACAGATAAATCATATAAAATGCCGAATAGCAAGAAACAAGGAAAATTAACTACAATAAACCTGAAAGAAAAGCTCCAGAAATTGCTTTGGAAGAAAGTAATTTCTTCATGTCTTTTAACGTTTTGGTAATATTGGTTCGTATAACAACATTTATTATATAATTTATACAAAATTGATCAATTGTTACTTAAAGGGAATCGTCTGGGTCTAGACCAAAGTTTCTTTTCAGTAGGTTGATCAGTAGTACTGATTCCATGTTTGACTAAGCCATGAAGTACTATACAATTCGGATACTCACATATCTCACAGTTATCACCTTTAAAACCAGTGGTACATAAGCATATGCCAAAGTCCACGTCACAAACACCACCGTTGTAGCATACTGGGCACCACAATAAACACAACGGTGGAGACCATCTAGAAGCAGGACATGCTAAAAAAAATTAAATTAGTATGTTTGATAATATAATATATTTATCGTTCCTATTTTATACATTTCATCAAGTAATTTTAATTATGAATAAAAAGATAATAACATTTATTAGTATAATAATATGCATTGTCATCGATGCTAATAATATTTATCAGCATGTTATAAATATAATGGATTTTGTGCAATGCTACTGAAAATTGTATACATAAGCAATAGACATTTAATAATTCATTTTTCTTTTTAGTTACTTATAGACAGTTTTTAACTTCTCCTCTATAATTCAACAGCTTTAATAACGTATGAGGTGAGTTGGGAGTGAGATGCAAAGATTTCGAGTATCACTGAATTAAATTTGGTCCAAAGAATGTTAAGAGATTCAGCAATAGGTTTGGAATTCGTTCAACCATTTTACAATCATTATGAATGTAGAACTATGTATAGTGCTATCTGCACCACAATAATAATAATAATACCAATTAAAATAGTAATAATACTTTACTCGTTCCTTTTATTTTGTTTCTGTATATGATAATAATCATATAATTATTATCATTATATTAGGACTATAATATAATATTGCAGATTTGGTATCATCTTACTACATCTGAGGATCAATCGTAACTGAACAAAATCTTACTTCTAACATGGAGAACAATGAAAGCATGCTTTGCCTCTGCTCGTGTACCGGTGACGTAACACTCATATATTCCAGCATCGGCTAATCGCACGTTGTTGATCGTTACTGAGCTCAGATCGTGCCATTCCTCTATTTCTGATCCGCCATCTTTTCTCCATCTGAGGCTGGATTCATCAGTTTCGACAGTTAACATCACAGTTGAGTCTCCAACACTGACCGTTACCACTCTGTCTCTAGGTTGAACATTAGCTGAAATTTTAAAAAGATTACTAGCTGAAGATCTCAAAAGGATGAACAATTTTTTTACATCATTTTTTAAGTCTACTTTAGTTGAATTATATTTCCGTCTTAATAATTATGTTTTTGCTGTTGTTATTCTTCTTTCTAAATAGTTTGTTTTGTAAGAATAGAAATGAACATATGTTTATTTCCAACACTGACCGCTACCACTCTGTCTCTAGGTTGAAATTAGCTTGAATTTAAAAAAGATTACTAGCTGAAGATCTCAAAAGGATGAACAATTTTTTTACATTATTTTTTAAGTCTACTTTAGTTGAATTATATTTCCGTCTTAATAAATATGTTGTTGCTGTTGTTATTCTTCTTTATAAATAGTTTGTTTTGTAAGAATAGAAATGAACATATGTGTCCAAAAAGTTTTTAAATTAATATTTGCTGAATTATTACGTGAAAGTTTACATTCATACATACTTTATTGAGTTCACCATACACTACAGTATGACCCGCTAGGCTAAGCCCGGCCCCTACCTAGGCCTACATTGGGACATAGGACATAGGCCGGAGGAGGCTCAAGTTAGGCCTAGCCCAGTCTACATAAGTAGGGTTGAGGATTAGAGTATATAAACATGTAGGTGCCTAAGTCCGGCCCTATCCAACTTGCGATTGAACATTAAAATGTTACAGACTGAGACGAAGGCCCTAGTCTGGGCTGGTCTCTATGGCTCCAGTCTGCTAATCCTGGAATATTGGGCAGGGTAGGGTCCTTTCTTTTGGGGCTGAGGTGGTACTGTAGCTTCAAGCAATTGTTTCGCCACCAATTTGCTCATTTTTGTTGCGAATTGACCCGGTAGAAATGACAAAATAGCCAACTTATTATTCTACGATGATTGATGTGAACATTTTAGTAAATAGATTTATATAAAGCGCTTCACACCTGAATGGTCTCAAAGCACTCAAGGTGTCGACGGCTCTTATTCTATGTAACTTGCTTCTCCCCTAAGGTATCTTACGTGTCTGAGCTACCCGGTAAACCAGTACCAGTGACACTCTTCAGTAGGGGTTAAACCCCCTACTCGTCTCGACGGTAATTAAACTGGACCTACGGTTTATAGTCCTTACCCGTGAAGAACTGTTTCACAACCAGACCCTAGGCGTACGTGCCATTCTAACCGATCCGATATTATAACTGTACACGGAGGTTCCCTCCCTTAACCGCTCGGTTATCCAACTTACCATATAGGCCATGCCTACAGTATGTTATTTTCTTAAAAATAAATAAATAAAATATACTATTTTTTAAATGAGTATTATACGGTATTGTAAATTATAATTAATTATAGTATGTATATTGCTAAATTCATAATACTTTTTATGGCTACCCGTAGTATATCGTTGACGAACGAACCACCGCCAGATAGTTCAGTAGGCAGGCCAAGAGACAGAGACAGAGACAGAGAGAGAGAGAGAGAGAGAGAGAGTGGGGGGGGGGAGAATATTTTTTGAGGAATATTCGTATTTAAATATAATTTGTTATTTTGGATTTTTTTCTTAAGAAATTTATGGAACAGTCACAACATACAAACCTTTACAAGATTGGCATTTACAGATCTGTACTGACAAATTATATAAGTGGGAGGTTTGGAGTACAACTCAAATACAGACAAAGCGCATAAAGACCTTCCATCAACGCTGTTTTGGAACTCTGTTGTGTTAAAAGAATATCGATGTTCTCAGGACTGGCGAATACTACTGATTTGGAGTGTTGCATAACATCTGTGAGACTCCATTGTTCTGGACTTGTTTTAAAAATTCCATATATCGGACTTACTAATTAATATCTTTTGAGATGGACTCTTACCTAATGTACTCATTCTACTTTAATGGCAGAAGATCACAGTGCAGATCAGGGACGTAGCCAGGATTTTGAAAGGGGGGGGGGGGAGCCGTTATGCGAATTACGTATGACCCCGGCGGGGTCAAGGGGGCGAAGTGAAGTAGCGCACTCTGAACGTTCTTAGGACTGTTTGAGAGGATAAAGTGAAAATTGCAATAGACGCATTATAAATAAGCGCAAAAAAAATTATATAATAAATCAACAGTGGCAGATCCAGGAACCAGGGAGGGACTTTCACGGACCGAGGAACCACCCACCTCAGCCCCACCATGGTTGGGGCTGAGGTAAGAAAATTTATGATTAAGGCATCTCTAGATGGCCGGATATTACACTCTCGCACTTCAATTTGAATATATTTTTCTTTTTTTGTTTCCTTAAAAAATGAAAG